TCCTAAACCATCCAGTTAGATATATATATATATATATATATATATATATATACACACACAGAGATATATATATATTTTTTTTTATATATATATATATATATACACACAGAGATATATATATATACTATTTTATATATATATAAAATAGTTGAGAACTTCACTCCTAATCTTCTTCTGAAGGTGTCCTGTTCTGGCTGACTTGGATGTCCTTGGAATAGCTAAACAATATGCACAGTTGGATCTTCCGGCTTTTGCTTTGGGCTGCCTGTTGCTGATTCCTCAGCCTGAGAAGCGAGAGCAGCAAATTCAGGTAAATAATAAGTTTTGTGTTCTATCTGTGCAAGGGAAATGTCTTTAAGCATGTTATCTTCCACAGAGACTGTCAAAGATGGTAACTTATAATCCCATTTTATTTAACTATGTCACTGCTGACAGCTGCTTGGCACCTCCCACCCACAAAGGCTATTGCCCTGAATTTGTCCTTCTGAAAGGGATCATGTGAACACTTCTGCTTTTTTTTTTTTTTTTTAAATAAGCAAAACCAGCTAGCTTCAAGTCATCCTCAGCAGCTTTGTCATATGACTTTGCCTTTTGAGGATTTGAGGATATTTTATGGGATCCCACCCATGAAACCCATGCCAAAAAAAACAACAAAACCCAAGCCATAGCCATAAACCTGCTAGAGCAGTGTGAAGTTATGATCACATCTATAATTGCTGAGAAGCTACCAGTGGGCTAGTTTCACGGCAGATTGTAAGAAAAGTACCGAATCCTACTTCAGAAAAGTGTTGAGTTGAAAGCTCCTGAGTTCTTAGAAAGATGCTTGATATGCACCACGAGTTCTGATGGAAGCTTTTTGCCTTAAAGCCATGTCCTCGCTATTCATGCATCTTGACAGTTTCCTTTCCCTTCTCATTTGTTTCCATTAATTTATGCTCTGCATTGTTCTCCCAGATGAAGCATTATGGGCTGTTCCCATATTTGTCATGAGCAAAGTGGCACTCGTAAAGGCATCTTAAATTCTTAGAATTCCAGTCATTAAAGCTCAGAAAGATTTTCCCAAATTACAGCATTAGCGTAAGACATTTAGTCTGCTCGCAATTAGTCAAAAAAATCTATAACGGCTACAGCAAAATACCCTTTGAGAGTTAAAAGCAATGAGTACTACTCTTTCAGTCAAACTGTACAGATCCTGGTTTGATAATTTCATGTTTATACCTAGAATTTCAAAACATTAATTTTTCCTGAATAAATCAAATGCTTGCTCTGAAGGGGGAGTTTCTACTTCAGTGATTCACAGAATATTGATGTTTTGTAACTTATTTTTGCAAGGGTTTCTTATCAACGTGTAACACAGAAACTGTGCTGCAACAAATAGATGAACACATGAACGCTGGAGAAGCAGTGGCATTTGCTTCTCAGGTAAATACATAAAATTTACTTCACTTCCCTTTGACTTAGAGGCTTTTTTGATAGATAAGTGTATGTAGAACCTTTTTTTTCCCCCTCTCTCTGATCTTGCCAAGCATTAGTTGACATCATGCACACTTCTAAAATACAGCAACATTTGCAAGGATTTTTGTATTTTTATTAATGTTGTGCAACTGAAAACCTTCTTGTATATATACACAATCCTGTGTTACAGGCTGCCCCCGCTTGTAGGACAGCAATGTTTGCAGCAACGCTACTTTAGTTTTCTAAAAAAAATGTTTTAAGGCCATAGGGCTTATGAAACTGCGCTCCCTCCTGCCTAGCCTTGGGCTGCCTTCCTAAGGGCACGTTTTTTAACTCATTCCCCTACCTGAATCTGAGATCAGTCCTCATAAAATCTGCTATCTAAAAAAAAAAAAAAAAAAATTAAAATCCTGCTCTATGGGAGTCCAATAAGAAAAGTCTGAGCTCTTTTCATTCAAAAGTAATTTTTTTATATTTAAAATATTAATACTTTTCCATTACTAAAACTTAAATCCACAGATTAGATCTTTGGTTTTGGACAGTATCATAAATGAGAAGCTATATGAAAAATTCTTGAAAACTAAGTATTTTCCACTGTTGAAGCAACAACTGATGAATACTCACCGAATGAAAGAACTGGTGGATTATTTTGCCAAAAAGAACTGGTAAGTTAATAAAATAGGTGATGTATGACTGATAGCAATTACAGAAATTTAGTATCTCCTTTATTTTATTTTCATTTATTTGAAGTCGTTGACATTTATCTAGTACTTAGTCTCCAAGAATTTTTAAAGTATTGCTAAGTTAAATAAAGAAATAAAATAACAATCTCACCTCACTGCTTGGCATGCTTAGGGTAGAGTTTTACAGTGTCATTCAAGCCAGAGTAACAGCTTAGTGAGCCTGGACTGGCCGGCAGGTCAAATGCGGTTAAAATAGCAGAAGTAACCTGACTGAAAAAGCAAACACTTTTGCTTCGAATCACTTCACCGTACCTTCAGGTGAATTCAGCTTAGTGGCATCACAGAGTCACAGCTTCACCAGTAAGAACACTCTGAAAAAAAATAAATGAACTGCCTGTACTTAAGACTTAGGCATTAGTGGTTTTGCTGCTAAGTTTTTCCAAGAGTTAGAAATGCCTCTTACGTTCCACTTAAATAAAACAAAGGGCCTTGCCACTGGACCCACCGCAGGGCGGTTCTCAATCAGCAATTTATCAGTGACTCACAGCACTTGGGCTCATTGTGCACAGCTGCAAACTTTCATTGTAGACCCCAAATACTCAGTGTTGCAAGTCACTTTGTTACCAGTTACCCTGCAGTCAAAATGGGACAGGAACCAGTAAATAACCGTTTAAATTCTAGTATATATTGGTTTTATTACCAGCCACAGGTTAAATGCTAGGCTTGTCACGGCTTGCTTTCCTCTACTGGGAAATGATGGGACCTATCTGACTTCAAAAGTATGGGGTCATATCTTATTTTTATACTTCAACGTATATAGTCTAAATTCCTGGCTTTTTAGAGAACTTGTTGACACAGTTGGTAAACTTTTGCCTCCTACAGCATTGATGATGCAACAGCCCTAATTCAAGAATATCAAGAGAAATGTGGAAATCCTGCTGTGGCAGACATACCATCAGCTGAGCTTCTGAAGGTAAAACCAACCGCCTTTGTACCCCCTGCAGTATTTTCTCCTTTTTTTCCTAAACTAAGACTTTCACTCAACTTTTACAAAAATACTTGTTAGCTGATTTATTTTAGTAAAATATATTGTATATAATAAAATATCCCTTTATATTTTACTTGGACCAAATCTGTGCCATGCTAAGCCTTATGCTCTCAAGTACTTCCACAGGTCTTGGATGATATGCTGTTTTCCTAAGCCCTGGTGCCACTGTTCTTTTACCTTCCAGATGTATCTGAATGGACCAGAGGAGACGCGTGTACGAGAACTGTCATCGAGAAGATCTTGATTTACCCTTTTCTTTTCTCCCTCTACTGGCAAGATGAGGGCCACGCACTGAGAACGCTCATACTGGTCAGGTGAACGTTAAAACTAAAACCTCAGTGCTCTTTTACCAGAAGCTACCCCAAGCTTTCCACACTTATTTTAACTGTTTGAGGCTGTTCCGTCTCCGTACTCCATCCCTATTGAAACAGTTTAGATTTACAGCAGAATTTGCTGTTTCTATTCAGCAGTAATGTTCATATTCAGCACTTTGATATTAGGAAGGATTAAAGTTTATTTCCTTTACTTCTATATTTCTCCATGTTTAAGTCTACTGTCAGGATCACTCTAAGATTTCATTTACACAGACATAACCTTGCATAATTGTGATAAACTTTTTTTAAAACTGTAAGTGATGTACTTCATGTAAAATACGCTTTGTAGACAAATTGTAATTTTAATTACAGTGAGCATGAATAAACAGACTTCTTTCTTACACATCAATTTTGGCCTTACAGTATTCTATAAACCTTTTTTAATTATGAAGTTGTCAGTAAATTGATGTTCCACTCAGTCACTAACCTTCCCTGAATAATGATGTGTGCCAAGGTTTTCTTTTCAGCTGTGTTCTTGCTGTGTGTCTGCAGCAGGGTAAAGCAACAGGCACGTGTTTCGCTGCATGAAAGAGCAGTTAGCCAAAGGTTCCTGAGATACCAGGCTGAAATGCTTGGCCTTTTTTTAAGGTAAAGCACACTTATTTTGACTAATTTAGTCAGCTTATGACACAGAAGTAAGGGTTCTAGCTGATCCCTTAGGTTCTGTGAAAACCATTAGTTTGACTCAAACCCTCGTAACAAACACCCCACAGCTTTTTGCATAGATACAGCACCAAAAAAAGTCATAATACGAAGGCCAACATCTGCAAAGGAAACAGGCCACCATTCTAAATGTTCTTCTGTAGAAGACAAAAGGTAAAACTCTATTTTTATTGGAAAGTTAGCACTCATGAGAAAGGGGAGCTGTTAAAATACATTCAGTTCCCTGCAGTCATGAGAACAGGACAACCAAAAGGTCCCGTCTTCTTGAACAACCAGTTTTTAGTCTTCAGTAGTAGTACAAGCGCCCTATGGAATGAAATTATTTAAAACCTTTGTACATGGAGCAAAGCGCGTATACACGTAGTGTCAGATATAAGCCATAAATAAAGGAAAGCCTCTCTTGGCTGTTCACAGATTTGAGACCATCATTCATTAAAGCACAGTGGTGTTTGAAACTGCTTTGGTTATAAAAAGACTAAAGTGAGACTTTCTAGAGTGAAATTACAACTGTAAGTTATAAGTTAATTGTAACATTTTCAGAATCTATTAATCACTCCATTTTATTCTTTTAACTTAATTGGGAATGTTACATTGAGAAAATCAAATGTCAGCTGGACTCTGAAGCAAATGTAACATGGCCCCAGAGCCCTCAATCTTTTTGTTCAAGCCCTTTACGAGTATCCTTTGGAAGTAAGTCACCAAACCAGAGCATCAGGCATTTTAAAAGCAACTACAACTGTTGCATTTTTTTCCCCAACAACAGTTCAAAATGCTTAGTTTTTCTATGAAGTGGAGTTTATTACAACATTAAGGAACAGTATTTAAACAGTTATTTTAATGGAATATTTTACAAATCAATTCAATACAGAGAGAAGCAAACACAATGTTGTTTTAAAGTTACTACCAATAAGCTACATTGTTAAGCTGTTAGCGAGTAAGTGTAGTACTGTAAACTAGCAATCAAGTATTGTAGTAACTTGCAGTTCAGAATGAGATGGTAAAAATACCAGACAAGCAAATACATTTTTAAGACTTTTTGTACTCAATTCTTTCTACTTTCACATCATCTCCAATTAGTTGATAGACATATGTAACTACTGTAGAAGCCTGGATATCCATCAGCACAAATGAAGGAATGATGTTGCTGGAAAGAGAGGAAAAAATTCATATTAACTGTGTGTATATAATCGCCTTAGCAGTGTTTCACCACTAGTTAACAGAAATCAGTCCAAGAAAAATGGATATGAAATTTGTAAGCACAGCACATCGGATCTGAAGCTTTACGTATTTCATTCTCCTCTGTTTCAGTCAAGGAGATTTAGCAAGTACTGTCAACCCTTCCTCTCCCCACCATTCAGAATGTCACCGTTAACCTTCATAATGAGTCTTGGAGTTCAGTTTTGATACCAAACAGAAATGCCCCACAGGTATTCCTCATACTTCACTTACTTCTCTAAGGCATGATAAGCTCCTGTAGCTGATCCTGGATTGATATAGAACTTGTTTTCATGTTCAAATGCCTCAAATTTGTGTGTATGTCCTGAAATTAAGATGTCCACATCAAACTGCCTTTGTAGCAGTGCCAGGCTGGCCATATCACCCCAAGGAATAACCTGATGGCCATGAATCAGCCCGATTTTGAACTGTCCAACAGTTACAACTTTCTGTTCAGGATAATTCAGGTTCTAAAAATTAAAAAAAAAAGAAAGAAAAGAAAAAAGAAAACAACAAACATTAGATGTACAAATTTATATTTAGAAATATCTATGCAACACCAAGAAGAAAGGGGGAAAGCTTATGGAAATATTCAGTGTAATTGGGCCCTACTGCTATAAAATGAGAGCTACAAAGCTGCTTTTACAAACACTGTGGAGAATGTGGTAGGATGCAAGGAACGGCAAAGATCTGACAACAGCAGGTCCTGTTTGCTGGAGTCCTAGACATAGCCAAGTACGCAAATTACTTCTGTTCATACTGATGACAGGTGAGAACTTACTATGCAGTTCACATTATTGATTTTAACCCCAACTCTTTTGCCCAGTTTTCTTTTCACACGCTCTTAGCGCTACATAACCTCAGTTTGCCCACTTCTGCTTGAATTACAAATAACCCAAACGTTGCCTATATGTAAACGATGCACAAACCCATGGCATTATCAATAGAGGACACTACCTCATCAAAGTCCCCTCTGACAACGTGAACATCCCCGGCCAGAGTCTTGAGGTAGTCATAAGTGTCCTTGGTGCAGAGGTTTCCTGTGCAGAGGATGTGTTGGATCTTCCCTGGAACCAGCAGTTTTTTGAATTTGGCTGGGAGGCTGTTGCATCGATGTGGAATGTGAAGATCTCCTAATACTAACACCAACTTATCAGGTGTCACGAGAGGAAAGAAAGAGCATTACAGATACTTATTAAGACAAAAATCATTTGCAAACAGAAGGCATTGCAATGTTTTCTTCAGTTTCATAACTTCGCATTTTGATGCAAAAACTACTAAAATAAGAATAAAATGGTGACGGAATATTGCTTTATTGAGGGAAAACAAGGGCCCTTACTAATGCAGAACCTATTATCCAGAGAGGGGCCTTAAAAACACAACAGTCTACACAATTTCTTTTTTTTTTATTTTGTTGCTGAAAGCCATTGCAAGGTATAACAACAGAAATGTGTTACTACTTGATGTATTTTACACAAATTTGGAAACTACCATAAACTATCCCACTTCTTTTTTTCTCCTTAAACATCCAAAAAAGAAAACCAGGACATCTCTAGTACATGTTCTCAAGCACAGACCTGCCTACACTGTGGCCACTTCCCTTTAAAACTCCTCCTCCAAGTTTCTTTCTACTTTAATTAACTTCTGTTTTCTTCCTTATCAAAAAAAAAAAAAAAAAGCAGCAAATTTGCAACATGTGTTAATAGCTGCCCAGAGTAGCCGACACTTTCAGAGGCCGGACTGTAGGAGCCCCTGAACAACAAGATAAGACTAACATTTAAAAAAAAAAAAAAAACCAAACCAGAAAAAAACCTCAGGGCACTGCAGAGAAGAGAAGCCAGCCTACTGCACACAGTGGTTCTCTTGCCAGTTCTATATATGCATAGTTTCACTACAATAGATGCAAGGAGAATACAAATTTAATGGGGGCTTCGAAATTAAGGATTCAGATGAAGTAAGACCATAGTTTAATATCACAGGTTTTAAATCTGCGAATAAAGAAATAATTAATGCGAGCAACAGAGCAATAAATTAATTATGCAAAAAGGGCATAAAAAGCTCTATGAAGCATGGGGTGTTATGGCACTACACTGTAAAAACACTGGATCTAGAGACAGTCATCCCTGTTAACTTGATAAATAGCTCCATATTAAAAGAGAGTTTATCTTCCAACCATAATGCTTTGTTAGTAAGACAGTTCCTAAAAGGACAGCCATCAAATGTGCTTGTAAAAGATACAGCCCAGACAGATATACATACATAAGCAGTAGTAACTATGCTAAGAAATTTTTTTAATATTTGCTTTTCAAATTTTTAGGCCATGCAGCTCTCTTCATGCTAACAGTCATCAAAAAAGGCAGAGGGAACTTGGGTGAGTTTTTTGTTTCAGTTTTATTTTTTTTCAGATTAAGAATCTCAGTGCCATCATCAAAGCCATGCATCTTTGGAGAACAGATGGTTGAAATTATCGGTAAAGCAATACAAGAGTTTTTTAATGAATGAGCTACTAATTTAAAATTAACCCGGGGGGGGGGGGGGGGGGCAGGAACACATTTTTGATGGTCTTTCAAGAGTTCCCAGTGAAAAATACCCTCACTAGCATCAGTCTAGAGATGATATATTTGAATGCAAGTAAAAAATGAATAACAAGTGATTTTGATTATTCAAGTGGCAATAGATAGATTCTCTTCATGATGCTTAAGGGACTTCGACATGAAATACCAATTACGTATTTACTGTTTAATTATGCTGCCACTTAAAGTCAGCAGTTTGTGCATTCAAAGACCACTTCCTTTGCTGACGAACTGGCAGGCCCCATATTTTCCCCCAAATCACGTTTGAGCTCCCATTAATTAAAGAAAAGCTTGGCAGGCTACAATCACAAGAACAGATCAAAAGCATTGAAGTATGTTTAATAATCACAGGTATCTGCGACATAAAATAGCGGCAAATAATGTTACAACATCTGGGTTTAACTAGGAATTTAGGTGCGCTCTTGAGCGTGGTTTGAGCAGCAGCCCCCAATTCATATGTACCATCTGACAGTCACATCATCTAGGAACATTAACAAGCCCTTACCACCGGTGTTAGCAACAGCCAAGAGGAGTAAACTTACTCTGTGCCCAGCCTTATTGGAATGAAGAAGTTGATTGCAGACAGGGGGGAATGAAAAACAGGGTGAAACATGTTCAATGTTAAACAAAAGAAAGCAACAGAAAAGAAAATATAGCCAAATGAATAGGCGAATAATAATTAATGAATTGTTGATGTTATGAAAGAAGCGTTAAAAAATAAATAAATAAATAAAATTAAAAATCGGCTCCTGCGCGCAGCCCCCGGCC